AGTTAAACCTTTAATGATTCATAGTTTTCAAGATCAAGAGCAACCGATTGACACTTTTAATCGTAGGCGTATGCGTCGACATGTGGTGCACGCATTGGCGTGCGTAGCCAAACTGGTCTCCAACATGAACACCGACTGGTTCGTACAGTTGATCTCCACGCCGATAATATCCACAAGGTACTATATGCAAAGATAAATAAACAAATTAATTAACGAACAAACACCCACAAAAGGCCTTTTAAATGCTTGTGAAAATTGAGTATGTGCATAGCGCATTGAGAAGATCCTGATCAACATTCAAAGCTTCTGGTCGATCACTTCATGCGCTTTCCTGTTTTCATGGAACTAACAATTATGAGGGCAAATAGTAAGACAAGAAGTAGACGTAATGGCGAGGACAAGAAGTGGGAAACATGTAGTCGATATTCAGATAAAATTTAATTTCTAAAAGCCATCAAGATGACCGGCAGGAATTTTTTAAGATGAGTTCTGTATCTTAGACAGGTTCGATTGCAATTAAACATTCCCAAGAGATGGAACCTCTAGCTCGGTGTGATGGATAGGATCCCAGAAGCACACGTATGAAAGCTGGCGCTCCCCGGCACTACCACACCATCAAGCATTCAAAAACGTCATTTATAATAAAAAATGATTCATATTGATCACCGTTGTGATCCATTAATTGCTGTTAATGACCGAAGAGCAGATTGACGCCTCCGCCTAGGTTTCAGAGAAGTTTCGATTGACAAAACTATGGGTACACACCAAAATTGGATACGGATGAGCGACATTGAGTTCTCGTTCCTCTTTTCAGAGAATTTTATAATGCTGTACCACCTGTTCCGAAGAGAAATAGTAAGGCAAAAAACAGTGTCAATGTAGTTGGGGAGGAGGGGGGGACACCCTTGACCCCTACACCGATAGCTAGAGCGCAGAGAATGAGGGCCAGCTTCCTTGGCAAATCCTAATTGTGCCTAGGAACGAACGTTTCTTAGGCAGGGTAATATACATAGCTGTTGACCTAGACTTCAGAAGTCAAGAAGCGTCATGGCAATTGAGCCAGATGAATGTCCAGATTTTACCTAATCCAGCTTTTTTTACGAGGTAATCATGGCACCCACCCCGTGGTGCTCCTCCCCACCTGAGATTTAGCTGAAAAACTATATCCTCCCGATTGAAAACGGTCGTAGAGCATAGTCACAAATGGCTAATTCTTCTCTGTGCTCTACCGTTTAATACTGGAAACTAGGGGTGCTCCCACACCAGCTACATTTCCCCCGTAAACGATGTATGGATGCACAGACAAGATGAACATGTAGTTATAAGCCTGCCTGACACGAATCTCATCGGAGCAGCCGCTCAAAACTTCTAGAGCTTGATCCTGCAGCAGATATTTGTCTTCGTCAATGCCATGCGTCATTGGAGAAAAACTAAAAGCAGAGTCATGCTAAAAAACGGATCGTCATGAGCTTACGGCTTACACTAGCACCGCTCAATCATACCAACTGAGCCCCCAAGAGCAATCCATCATAGCTATAACTGTACAAAAACTGAGACACCAAAGAAACGAACGACTTCAAATCTGAAGCGAAATGGAGAGGGAGAAATTCGATTGGTAAATGGTTTCAAACCACAACAGAACATATTGGAGGGGTCAATACTGCGCACGCAAGAGACCGACTAGCAAATTGATTTTACCATTGAGCCAACAAAACTGCAGTCTTTTGCCCTACTAGTTCACGACGAAGAGAACCAAAATGGCTTTGAACGGACCACGCGCCCAACAACTCAAATTGCGTTTCATAAGAAGACGCTTATGAACATTTAGATACCATATCACACCTGAGTGTGACCCATGTCAGATTCCACGAACGGCTTCCTATGAAACTCGGCATAATTGTTTTGGTACTGAGTTGTTTTCTTTAACTCATCACGAGGTTTGTATACAAGCTTTATTAGGCTGACGTTTCTGCGGAGTCGCCTTCTCCAGAGCCCAGAAAGATCATAACAATTTATGACTATCCGGATGAACGTCTCCACGAACTGACTAAGTTCGAGACCCCCAAGGCACGCAGGTGACCCAAGTCAGTAGCTACCCCAGGTAAGTAAAAGCCGTCACTAGCTTTCAATAGTCACGAAAAACTTCCAAATCAAGGTTCGTTGCAGGGTGATTGGTCGAGGGGTACTTTAACGTCACTGCTAGCTACTTTCTAACGAAATTTTCCATCAAAGCCCAACTTCTCGCTGAATTTTCTTTCTTATTGAACTACCTCACTGATAAAGAAAGCTTTGCTACGAACTCTTCCAGATGACAACCAATCAATATATCTTGTGGGGTAATCGGGCAGTGATAGGGGATTCTAAGCTAGCCAATACCTTAGCAGCCAGAAACCTCAAATTACAAAATTCTATCATCATAATACAACATTCCACTCCATCTCCATCCTCATGTAACGCCCCTCTCCTTAGAAATGCCATATCATAGTACACCTACAGATCTACAGATCCAGCGTACATCTACAGACCTTTCAATCAATACATCAAAAACGGCCCCAGTTCTCCGATATGGGAATAGTACACAGCGTACGTATTGTTTCCACTCGAATCTTCTGGTCACAAACCTAAACCTCCTTAGAAAGTGGCTCACCTGAGAGGCCTTATACCACGGATCGTCTCAAAGGCAAAGTTCATGGTAACTCTGAGGATTTTAGCTTACATGAAAAAATGGAAGTCATGGTGCAGGATAACGCCAAAATGGCAAAAAGTGCAATAATCACCGAATTTAAAAAATGTGGGACTTTAAAAAAGTAGTATGAAATAGGGTGTACTACATTATGAGTCAGCGTCTGAGCGCCTCCCAGAGGGAGGTTTCAGACACATAATTTCGCACAACAGAGTAATATTGGTTGACGTCCTAACAGTTCATTGTGAACGGTTAACCCTTAACAGAGCCGTCATAACACGGCCACTTTTGGGCAAGTACCTTAGCCTATACCGTTTTGGGGCCCTTATAACGCCCCCCTGCGAGATTGTATTCCGACCCAACGACGACTCACGTGCTATCCTTGGGAGCCACTGGTTCATCCTAGTGAGGAAATCCGGACCTACATTCACGCCAAACGCACTTCATTTCGACCTTAGTGTTCCAGAGTAATTCCTATTCAAAGAACCATTCGTGCTGTGCTGGAAATGAGGAATTTCTAATAATGATCAACTTTCATAATGGTGGTTCAGGGCTCTCAGTAGTGGTAAGGCAGTATGTAATTTCTTCTTATGACGCGAATTCAGGAAAAGGCAGACTAGAGCTGTTCACGCTTACAATTAAATAAGTGTTGGGATCCATCTGAAACTATCCTTTTGAAAAGCACAGTGCTATCCTTCTTAGAAAGGTTCTGAACCAGTAGCATATGCTGGGTCTATACAAATAGAAATCAGTTACCCTCAAAAATAACCGGGACACTTGCAAGAATAATGATTTCCTAGGCCATCACTTCAGAACTTTCATTTTCACAATCTCCATTCCAGCTATGCCTAAAATAACCCGTCCTTCCAGACCATGCAGTTCACTTGACTAGGGAAGACACCAACCATGACAATAGAACGACTAAACCACATCAATCAGTCTGAGACGCCTGCCCACCTCCACATTTAATCATTTCCTCAATTCTGCATCAAAACCCAGTGCATGGCGGACCCCCGAAGTCTCGCTAAGCGCCACAATCTTTCCATCGTTTGCTCAAATGTCCACGGCCAAGCTCACACCACGTTGGCTATGCCATTGCATTCTATCACAGCAATAGAAAAGTGCATTTCCCACATGAAATTCAAGTAAGTACTAAGTACTTGAACTTTTTCGCCGACAGAAAGCAAAACGAATACAAAACTTATTAATACTTTAGTTAGGTAATTAATAATTAATACAAGCAAAATACATGGGTTTATTAAAATAAAAATCGAGTTGAATAACTCTATTATACTCTCGTTTATAAGTCAATGACAAGAGGGAGGTCTAAAAAGACTGCGCATTTCGATATAGAGATACAGGCAACAAAGAAACTTCTGACAAACGACCGAAGAAGGAAGACAGACTGTAGATACGCACATAGAAAACATAGATATTGATTGAAATGCACGCGCAGCGTGTGAGAGAGGCTGAAGTGCTGTTTCGCGCAGGGGGGAAATGCATTCGATATTGAAATCACATCAGAGGGTGTTTACTTCTGGGCACCACAGCAACAACAATGAACTGATTCAGTAGGCATATTTGTATGTTGTTTGCGTATGGGAAAAAANAAAAAAGTAAATATACAACATTTAAATGAATTTTTAGAGGCTACCGTAGCTCATAATTCAGTATGTATAACCGCAGTAATACCGGGAATGCAATCTCTAAATAAAGACAAAGATGAAAGTCGCCCAAAAACCATAAACGATTCCTTTGATACAAATCTGCCGATGGATGATTTGCTAGGCGACCCGTAGATAGGCAGGGATAAAGAAAGGAAGCCCAAAATGAAAAATGACTTGAAAAAAAGAACGTGGATGACTTGCATTATTACAATCCGGTAATGGACCGGAACGAAGGAAACAAACGAATGTACAACAGCCAGGAAGGAGGAACAATGACAACAACAAGGATGATCAGGAACAATCCTTCTTACTGCCTGTCACGGTCCACCCCGACCACGCGGGTCTTTGCTGCTACGGGTGGTCCGACTCGCGGTGCAGGAGACGGACTTGAGCTGACTTTTCGTCGTGATGGCGTGGGGGCAGAAGCTGACGGTGTTACCGCGTACGTTTGTTTGAGGCCTAAAGGAAGTACAAGCCTAGATGTGAGCATATAGAAACTCCAAAATCGTTAACCGGACCTACCACTCATCAACTTCTCGAAATCGCCATGGCCAATCTGCTGGCTGTCAATTTTACCGCGTTGCCGCTTAGCGACGTTTCCGTTGCCGACGCGTTCCGTCAGTTCACGCATTATTCCGTCCTGTTGCTGTGTTTTTGTCATGACGCGCGATCGTCGCTCTGCTTCGTCGCGTTGCCGCTGAAACTATAGCCCTTAGTCAGGTACTTGTGATGATTCAGAAGCAGGGATGCGCCATGCACCTGGCTCTCATTCAGGATTGTGAGAATTCTCAAAACTACATAGTAGTAATAAACTAGCAAATTTGATTCTGAGCAATGAAGCTAACACAAAAGAAAGAATGATTTGGTCAAGCGGACATTAGGTCCAAGGAAGTACGACATCACTGGCCACACTCGTCCTTTCACCAGACTATTGTGTTCAAGTGAGTAGCCAGGGGTTCACTTGGATAGCCACGCCTTTTGAGTGAACCCTTCACAGACAAGTCAGAAAAAATAGCTCTCATATCAGCAACCTTCAGAGGCTCCCACGAAGGGCTTTTTCTCAAATCATGGGTCTAGGGAAGGCAATTCGGATAAGAAAATTAGGAAAGAATGAATTAAATGAAAACAGTGGGATGACTAACCTTTTCAGCTGCATCACGAGCATCATTCTCCTGCTTGCAGCGATTGAAATTTGCGATGAATTTACTCAACCTCGCGAAGAAATCGTTAGGTGGCATTGTTCGTGCGGATTCTCCATAAAATTCAATGCAAGATTCGTACGTTTTCTGAAAAAGTGGTTCATTCTATTGAATGTGTCCAAAATTCAAAAAGATATGAAGGTGAGTAAACATATGAGAGATAAATTCTGAAGGATATGAGAGGTAAAAAGTCTACAGGGAGTTCTCTCTAGGCCTCTAATCTCAGGTGTATGTCACGGCAATGCACCGGACATCATTGCACGCAAACGCGGCGGTAGCGGATATTACCACTAATGGTGACGATAAACCTCCCACCATTATACATGCCTCCTTTAAATGGTGATGAATAAGAAATGCCATGAACACCTTGAAGAAGAAACGAGCGAACGCCCAAGTTCAACAGCGCTTAAGCTGATTAACCCTGCCCAAAGTAGCGAAAACAAGTTGAAAATTGGGGAAAAAAACAGAGAGAATATCAAACCACCCTAGGCATATCGGTCTTTAAAAAAGAATTCATCGTGGTTTTTTTAGATAAAAATGACTCACCACAGCAAGTTTCGCATGTTCTTGCAGTTGTTTCATGCGCTCGTCGTGTGTCTTCAAAAACTCGGCTAGAGGCACTGGACAGTTGTCCCGTTTGAGTGCACGTTCCTTTCTAGCAGTCTCAAAACCTGCCTCCAGCTCTTTCATATCCGACAGAACGCTATCCCATTGCACTGAAATCAGACGCTTCTTCATTATCTGTAATACTCACCCTATCCCGCAGATCCAGGAAGAATTCGAGAGTCTAACCATAAAAGAACCAAATCGCTGAAACCTCTCTTTAGGGATCTGTTCCCACACAAAAGTTCTACGAGCTATCCATGACCCACGCAAAATTACTACTTTCGTCGCAATCATCCTGCTGTTCGAACATACTCACCGCCTGACGCCTTGTCGACAAACTTCAGTTGATCAGCAAACTTCATCAAATCTGGGAACGATCGTTCAATCGATTCCACGACCATATGCAGGAGGGTCAGCGAGCGATCCGATGGCGATTTCATTATGGCCAACTAGAAGAAAAAAAAAACGTTGAAATTCTCGATCAATAACAATCGATGTGCATTCATTCTATACTATCCTTACCGAGTCCAAACTGCTCAAGCGGAAACCATACACACTTCCTTTTCGGCAACTATTCATATAGTTACCAAACGCCAGAATCACTTCCAAAACGCGATGGAACATTGTGGCTTCACGGGCGCATTTCGACGCTGCCGTTACGTGCGTGAATTGCTAGAACGGAACTTTCAATTTACACAATGGAATAAATATAGATAAATAAAACTGTAATTGTAGAAATGATCTCCTAATAAACAAATACAACAAATTTTGCAATTGAGAGCAAATAAACAACTCTGAATAGTAGGCTTCGAGTAAAATCAAAGCATACCGGTTCAAGTAATGCAACGCTTTCATCGAAGTCAGCCATGACGCGCATCACGCTCAATTTATGCTCAAGTCGTTCGATTTCGCACAGAGCTGCCATGAATCGGTCCTGAACAGAATTCGTTACGGTAATCTGAGGCTACAACCGAATCTAGCCAATTGAGGAAGTATGCTGCCACTAATGAAAGAACCCACCTCATCACTGAGTCCTTCATCATCCCCTCGTTCTGCATACAGCTTTCGTTCCTCGTCGTTGGGTAGTATTCTTGACAATATGTCAACTTTGTCCGCCGAAAGCGTGTTCAAATCCATTTGGTGAACAGCGGCCATTATTTCGCGTGGTTCGAGGGCCAATTTGCGACGAGTTATTGCTGAACATAAAAGATCCATTTTTGGCGGCAAATGAAGAGATGTCTAGTATAAATCACTTCAATTCGAAAGGATCAAAAATCGCTGAAATAACGGCTTTAATCTCAGCAGCGCTATTAAGCGCGAAGTCCAGTCTATGCCATTCGAAGAAGCAGAAAAAATACTGGACAATTCAAGGAAATGGTTGCAGAAAAAGTGAGCCGCTTCGCAACCGCTCGCGTCAGTGGCCCGTGAATCGCATTATCGATTGAACCCATAAAATTTGTAGCACTTCAACCGATTTTAACCCAAGCCGAAAACATCTTTACTTACCAACGTTTTGCAACCGTTTCGTATCCAACAACGAGTTCTTCTTCGTCGGCCCACTGCCAGTCGATCCAGGGCTGTGCTGACCAATTACCGACGACGAACTGGTTACATCCAGCCTGTTACCGTTCTCCAATAGGCTGTTGTTATTCACTGGCGCCAACTTGAACATCTCTTCCAGATGTGAGAAATCCAGTTTCTTAAGAAAATCTATTGAGAAACAATTAAATAAAACAAAAAAAAAATCAAGAAATTGAACAATAAATAAGAAACAATAATGAAGTAAATAAAAAGTCTGAAAAATCAACAAACAAAATAAAAAGTACCTCGATGATCTTCTCGTCGTTGAGATCTTCGAAAACGGTGTTCTTCGCCTGATTCGGCTTCATGGCCGTCCAGTTCAACTGGGGAAGCTTATTTCTGAAACGACTTGGAATCATGCCAAAACTAGTATAAACGAAAAAAAGTGTTTCTGATGTATAATTTGAATGAAATTTTCAAAAAGTACAAAAAACGACAAGTAAGGTTCCACGGCTCGACACCAACCTGGTCTGATATGTCTTCTTAATAGTATCTGCAGCGGGACCATTTTTCATGAAACCTGGAGGCGGAGGAGCTGGTGGCCCACTTTTGCCAAATCCTGGCGGTGGTGGAGGAGGTGGTGGTGGAGCTCCACCATTGGTTAGCGGACCATCTGAAACCAATTCTTGAGAAATACGAAAGAAATGGACGGTCTGAAGGAACAAAGCACACTGGATAAGCTGGGTGGTGGAGGCGGAGCTGGAGGCCCACCAGTAACCGTAGCTGGAGTTGGAGCTGGTGGAGGTGGTGCTCCGTTCTCACGATGGGGTCCTGGTGCCGGAGGAGGTGGAGTTGGAGGAGACTTTGCTTGTTGTTGCACTTGAAGTCCAGCTGAAAGCACGAACAAATAGCATAATGATTTTAGGAAAAGAAATTTATCAAAAAGATATTTCTGCCATACCTTGCATCGTCTTCTGAATAGCTTCCAGCTCCTGGATCTTCTGCTCAAGCCTGGATTGCTGTTCTCGAGCTTGCCTATCTTTTTCGTCTGAAATCATCTCATTAGGAAATACTCAGAATTCATAAGCAGCACGATTCTGTGAACCATAGGTGAAAAACAAATAAGTAAATAAGGAAATAAATAAGTAAATAAACAAATTATCCAAATAACAACAACCATGAAGGTAAAGATAACTCACTGATTGTTCTCTTCCATGTCCCTTCTTGAGCTTCATGATCTTTTTGCATCCTTTCGCGCTCCCGCACGAGATCCAACAATCTCCGATCAAGAGCAGCTTTGTCTGTGATCCATTTCGCCTCCACCTCTTGGACTCGTTCATTGGCCTAAAAAAGGTAATGAAATATTTTGAGATCAGGAGTAAAACCTTTCATCGGTCCCACTGTCATGTTAGGTTTACTATTATACTTTGTATTCCCAGTCTTGCCTACAAACTACAAAGGTTATATTGGGTAAACGGAGCTCCCCGCCACCACAATTCAGTAGAACTCCAATGTATNATATCTCACATCTGACATACAAGCGGATAACTTCCCTATCAAGAACAATAAAATGAAGCCAGAGATTTTGAGTGAATCCCCCTCCCCCAACAATCCCCTTCCTTGCACCGACACCTGTGCTACCCCTCTAGCACACGGATCTCGAGAAACCTTCGATTTCGAAGCCGCTCACCTGCGAAAGTCGGCTTTTCAGCTGCTCGCATTCCTCTGCTAGACGAGCCTTCTGTTGTGAGTCTTCTACAAGGGCGGCAACGTCCATTTCCCCATTCACATAGGCAGACATTCGAGCTTGCAACTCATCCGACATGCATTCTGCCATCTCCTGAAAAAGCAAAAACATTTTAAATTTGCTCATATTCTCAATCATGATCGACTATAAAGATTTACCAAAGAGTTCCAGCTATTGAAGTAGTTACCAGTCAAAATAACCTTTAACTTACATCGATGAAATCATCCAGCCCCAGTAGATGCATTTCATACTGCAGGTAGACTTTCTGATTCAAATCTTCAACCGATGAGAAAATATCCAAGAATTGTATGGCTGATGACAGGAATTCCACATGGAATTCTAAAAATCCGTTTGATCAGAAATTTTCAAAAAAAAANATCAATAAGTCGATAATGCCAACTTGTCGATGTAACTAACCAGGAGGATTCCGAATGAAATACATTAGCGTTTGAAAGCGGTGTCTTTCACGATAGTCCTGAAAAGCAAAGTCTCAAAGCAATACGATACAATCCAGGGGCTCTGTGTGTCTATATCAAGCACAGATTCGGCAAGAAAAAGGTGAATAGACAACAAAAAAAGTTCCCCGCTGGAGATAACTTCTAAATAATAAGAAGCAAAAATTATTTCTGAAGAAGAAAAAATTGTTACAAAGTCATCCTTACCAATCTAAACTGATCAAATGCATCGCTGACAAGTTCCTGACCTCCCTGAACCATGCATATCGATGAAAGCATTTGCATCACCAAAGTCTTTGTTCTAAAAATAGAAAAATTAAACATCGTTCAAACATTGTATCCAAAAGACACAGGAAATGCTTGAAACAAGGGTGTCCAGTCATAGTCAATGTTAAGGTAAAGCTTAGTGGTGCCGGTACCGCACATAAAGTCCGAGAATCATCCAGCAGTTAAAGTCCATCTTACTTAAGCCAATGAAGAGAAGCTACACCGCTTGAACTAGGCCATTCGAAAAGTTAGAAGCTACAGCTTCTCAGATAAGCCTCGATCATGATCTTGTTTCTGCCCGTCATGTATTTCCTACGAAGAGGCTGGCACTTACTCAACAATGGGCACAAGTCAGGAGTAGCCTAAGACATCGTAACAGTTCAGGTTTTACGGTCTTAATAGGCTCATTTATAGTCGAGTGACTGACGTTGGGAGGGAGTCACTAAACAGTGGGATAGGGTTATCAACAAATTCGATTCATCAACCAAATCAACCCTTGGGTCGTTCCGAATATTAGCGTAACGTCCCTTCCACAAGAAATGACCAGAAGGAAGAGGAAAAGAGCAAGAGGAAGTCACAACGATAAAAAGAAAAAATTCAAAAGGAGATAAAACATTTAAAGTAAACTTCATATAAAATGAATGAAATCATACCGAAGACTCTGATGCAGTATACTTCGTACAATACAATAAATTGCTCTTGAATCGGCGAATACCAGTTCGAAACCACGCTGAAACAAAATCGTCATTGTCGAAAATAGGATACGAAGTAGGTCTCTGCATAGTCTTCGCTATGGAGCTCTTGCACATACACCATTAACAACCTCACATTAACTACTACTTGTACTCCACTCACCTTGTTATTCATTATGGCTCTAAGGCACATAATACAAACGTGAACGTCATCTTCCAATTCGCCAACATTTTTGCTAACTTTCGTTGTTCTTCCACTTATAGTATGATCTGAAAATGAACTCAGAGTATGAAGAAACTCGAAGTTGTAACAACAGTTCCTAGAAAAAAAAAGAACTCTTCCAAAAATAATAAAAAAAATATGTAACTGCAGTGAACGGAAAAGCTCTCAGCATCGGATGCAACATTACAATTTTTACAATTGCAGAATCCTTCCTCTGACCTTCAAGTGGACCCAGAATCAAACATTACCTTTAACAAATAGAACGTTCCTCAACGGGATTGATCTGGACCCACTTCCCCTCTATTAACAACATGCAGTCAAGGTACAAATAAATACAAAGATCATAATATGGTGACGGCTACAATTCTCAGAACAGGTCTTAGGGCTTGTTTAGGTCGAAATACCTGAAGGCATCCCGACCCAAGCAAGTTATATCCCATATTTCCCACTTGTTCGGGCAATAACGGTGGAGAGAGTCAGGCCACTTCCTCGTGTGGGTCTAGTGGCCATCATCATCCATTCGGTCACCCTTCAGAGTAGGATCATTCGAACATGGGCGGGGACTATTTTGAACACCCTGGCAGAGCTCTCCCTTTGGCGACTAGCCTTGGAAGACCTCAATTCCGAATTCTGAGAGCCAATTCCTATACCACGAGAGGGACGAGCCAGTCAAAGCGGACATTTAAAGCTTCTGATTATTTAAATAAGCACTTCAAGAATTAGAGATCACTTGACTTATTAAATTTCAAAAGCAACGAAAGTATTTCCTCTCTTTGATCTCCATACTCAAAAAACAAGAAACTCACACATACTTTTTCTAAAAAGCGACCCTGAAGGTAATGTAGAGGCCGAAGAGCTTGATGGAGCATGATCAGTACAGTCCATAGAAGAACCCGGTGGGGTTTCGGTGGTACTTCTGGAAAATCTCAAATAAACTCAAGGAAAATCAACGGTACGTCTCAAAAATTATATAAAAATCTAATAATTTTCGGTAATACATTTAAAAAACCTGATCCAATCATTTAAAAAATTAGTATAGGTGATATCGAAGAAAACTCACGACTGTGACGATGCCTCCAGTAACAACTGATTCATATACTCGACAAGTACTTGAAGACCATTGTTTGGTGGATTGAGGAATTGAATCACCCAACTAAAAAAGTGAATATTCGAAGTGAACACTGTTATCAAATTTTGGGGTAACC